ATTCAGTTTAGTGAATACAGGACTGTGTGGTCATAAAATGATTTCAATCTTCCATTAAGTTAAGCCCCTTATCTACAAGTAGAACACTGCACTGTGCTTCATCATAAATACTTATGAATAAGATAAAAAAATAAATAAACTTCATGCCAATGGAAATACAAGTGTTTTCTAATAGTGTTCCCTAAATCTATGGAGGAGCAAACCTAACAAAACTTAAAAGAAAGAAACAAATGAATAAACAAAGAAGCAAAGAAATATGAAAAGAATCAGGGTGATTATGCATGTAAAAGTGAAAAAGCCCTTGCACAGAATTCTAAAGAACTTCACACATTTTTGGTGTCAAAGACTTGTTGCCTACAACAAGTAAGGACTATGCATATGCATGTATTCATGTTTTGAAAAGCAAATTGCTTTTAAGATAAAAGATCCCAGTTGTAGGATTGACTATGCAAATTACAGCTAAAGGAGAGAAGTCTTCCCCAGATCGCTCTCTGATTATCAGATTCTTATCCAGGTCGTCACACTTTCAGATCTTTAATAGGCCTTAAACTGTGGCGACAAGATAAAGTCCCAGCTGTGAGTGTGGAGTCCTTTTGAAATTTAACAGTCAGAGCGTCTGTGTAGACAGTGACGTGTGTTCGCAAGATAGAGTCAACACGGGGACCAGAGAAAAAACTAAGTTTTTGCATCTTTTTTAAATGCTACTTTTATCCACTGCGATTTGTCCCCTGGGGACCACTTTATCATTTTTTATCGTTATTTTGTAATTGTTTTTATCGTTAACTTGGTTTCCCTGGGTCTTTTCCCATGTGGTATGAATACATGTCTTTTTTTGATACCGATACTGGTTTTGTTTGTATTTTTTTGTATTAGTGCGCGACACCTTAAAGGCCAGTCCGTGAAAATATGGTCGGACATAGACCGGCCTGTGGCGCAACTTTACTTTACTTATTTGCCATTGTAAAAATGTCTTTTAGTGACTCTATCAACTAATGGAAAGGGATAAAAGTGGCCTTTTAACAGGACACAAAAATAGTAACAAAAAGAACTATAAAAACTAGCAATTAAAAAAAACTACATACAAACAAAAGGAAGAAATAGCGTACAAAGAACGGGAATATATGCAAAGATTGGCTTGTTGCTATCTATCAGCAATACAGAACCACAAATGATTTTTCAACTCATATTACTGGTCATATTATTGTACAAGCAGAAATATAATACTTCTTTCACTGGAAGAGGTTTGAGTTCCAGGTAATACGGATGCATATAAGAGTTCCAGGTAATACAGATGCATACGCAAACATCCTCAAGACATGCATGGGCGAACCAGCACAAAACTGTCCTCGGAGAGTAAAAGGAACACTGCTGAAGAATATACAGCAATGCATATTAACTTATCTATCTTGGCTGACATTTTAACTTCCTCATAAGAAATTTTTAGGGCCTGGCTTCAGCTCACTAAATCACCTCAAGTCGCAAATTTTGACACAAAGCTGTGGTGGTCCAGCTTTTCAGATCCAATTAATATCAAATCACTCATAAAGATCTTTTGGAAAAGAGTAGAATTCTTAGAACAGAGTTTATTAAACATTGTCATATGAACAGCAGAACAGTACATTTTGCAGCAAAAATAACACGTAGAAAGCAAGCAAAGCAAACTAAAGTGAAGCAACCCTGGGGTGTACAGCCTTAAAGCACATCTGGCAAAGACATACCAAAGGACAGACAGGAAAAAGGCAGCAGTCTGGGGTACAGTGGGGCAAAAAAGTATTTAGTCAGCCACCGATTGTGCAAGTTCCCCCACCTAAAATGATGACAGAGGTCAGTAATTTGCACCAGAGGTACACTTCAACTGTGAGAGACAGAATGTGAAAAAAAAATCCATGAATCCACATGGTAGGATTTGTAAAGAATTTATTCGTAAATCAGGGTGGAAAATAAGTATTTGGTCACCTCAAACAAGGAAAATCTCTGGCTCTCACAGACCTGTAACGTCGTCTGTAAGAAGCTTTTCTGTCCCCCACTCGTTACCTGTATGAATGGCACCTGTTTGAACTCATCATCTGTATAAAAGACACCTGTCCACAGCCTCAAACAGTCAGACTCCAAACTCCGCCATGGCCAAGACCAAAGAGCTTTCGAAGGACACCAGGAAAAGTATTGTAGACCTGCACCAGACTGGGAAGAGTGAATCTACAATAGGCAAGCAGCTTGGTGTGAAAAAATCAACTGTGGGAGCAATCATCAGAAAATGGAAGACATACAAGACCACTGATAATCTCCCTCGATCTGGGGCTCCACGCAAGATCTCATCCCGTGGGGTCAAAATGATCATGAGAACGGTGAGCAAAGATCCCAGAACCACACGGGGGGACCTGGTGAATGACCTGCAGAGAGCTGGGACCAAAGTAACAAAGGTCACCATCAGTAACACACTACAACGGCAGGGAATCAAATCCCGCAGTGCCAGACGTGTTCCGCTGCTGAAGCCAGTGCATGTCCAGGCCCGTCTGAAGTTTGCCAGAGAGCACATGGATGATACAGCAGAGGATTGGGAGAATGTCATGTGGTCAGATGAAACCAAAGTAGAACTTTTTGGTATAAACTCAACTCGTCGTGTTTGGAGGAAGAAGAATACTGAGTTGCATCCCAAGAACACCATACCTACTGTGAAGCATGGGGGTGGAAACATCATGCTATGGGGCTGTTTTTCTGCCAAGGGGACAGGACGACTGATCCGTGTTAAGGACAGAATGAATGGGGCCATGTATCGTGAGATTTTGAGCCAAAACCTCCTTCCATCAGTGAGAACTTTGAAGATGAAACGAGGCTGGGTCTTCAAACATGACAATGATCCAAAACACACCGCCCGGGCAACAAAGGAGTGGCTCCGTAAGAAGCATTTGAAAGTCCTGGAGTGGCCTAGCCAGTCTCCAGACCTCAACCCCATAGAAAATCTGTGGCGGGAGTTGAAAGTCCGTGTTGCTCGGCGACAGCCCCAAAACATCACTGCTCTCGAGAAGATCTGCATGGAGGAATGGGCCAAAATACCAGCTACTGTGTGTGCAAACCTGGTAAAGACCTATAGTAAACGTTTGACCTCTGTTATTGCCAACAAAGGTTATGTTACAAAGTATTGAGTTGTATTTTTGTTATTGACCAAATACTTATTTTCCACCCTGATTTACGAATAAATTCTTTACAAATCCTACCATGTGGATTCATGGATTTTTTTTTCACATTCTGTCTCTCACAGTTGAAGTGTACCTCTGGTGCAAATTACTGACCTCTGTCATCATTTTAAGTGGGGGAACTTGCACAATCGGTGGCTGACTAAATACTTTTTTGCCCCACTGTATATCGAGCTTCCTCTTATATAGGATCAGCGTTGGGTACCCTTTCATCCTTTGTTCTTTCTTTTCATCTTCAACTTATGATACATAACTTTCTGACCCTACCCCATTATTTCTCGAGGACCGGTCTTACAGCAGGATTATTTTTTTCACATGTTCGCTAAGAATAGAAATTATGATTATGCGAGTGTTACCAAATTATGTACAAAATGTAGACTTGTCCATATATTACATCAATATGTTGTTATGATCTCAAATACAAGAACACAAATAAAGAGAACAACTCACCATTTATGACAGGGGCATAAACTATAATCCCTGCCAAGTTTGGATCTAATACAGTCTTGTCCAGAATAACTCCTCCAATACTAGAAGAAAGACAATCAAAATAATACCAGTAAGAGGTATGTGAGGGTATTCATAATATTTTTCTATTATCTTTTTCAAACATAAAGCAAACGAGTTAATGGTATCAAATGATCAAATTGTTATTATAGAAATTATCCATATGATGACTTACTGTTTGTTTGCTTTATTTAAAAATTCACACTAGAGAACACCATCAGGAAATCTGAACATGTGAAAGCAGCAGAGAGTACCTGCTGATGAGCATTGCTATAATGATGGGTTCCCAGCCTGTGTGCAGCAAGATTTCACTGGCTGGATGTTTGGATGAGGCAGCCACCCAGGCAGGAATCAGGCATAAAAATGATAGATTTACCAGATACAACACATATGGATAAAGTTCTGTCAAAAAGAAAAAAGAGATTATTTTGCCTCTTATTTTCTATCAGGATTTAGTTGAAAAAGTAAAGGCTGTGATCTTGGTGGACTTGGGTGAACTGGTGTCATTTGTTGGCCAAAAGTAAAAAATACATGACTTCTAGCACTTGCACCAAATATACAGCATTGCTCTTCACTGTTTGTACATTCAAACCAGACCATGTTATGGCCCTTATCTCTCACCTATAAAGGAATAGAACCACTGACTGAAGCATGCCAACAAGGCAAGAGTGATGAGATCTCCAAAGCTGGCTGCTATCGGTGTGGCCACATTGTCAGGGTTGATTCCTATCCGCTTGGAGCCAATGATCACTCCCACCATAACGATACCTTGAAGAAGTTAAAGACAAACTAAAAGTGTTCAGTGTTCATTCTGCTTGAGCATTTGACCTTAAAAGATTTTCATTCAAATATTTCAGCTTTAATAGAATAAAGTAATATAGAGTCAAGAATGAATGGAAAGCAAGGGCCAGAGTTCATTCAGTTGTAACCAAAAACACATTTTAATGGGGAAAATTAGGAAATTTTTTTTATCATTTTGTAGTATTCAGGTCACTGCTAGAACACTACGCCCAATAAATAATAGTAGTAATTGAATTATTTTAGACATTAGACATCAGTAGCTGTGAATATGTACTGTGTGCATTGTAGCTACAGAGCAATAAAGATGATATGAAATGATGTCTGTGAAGGTCCTCAGTAATCCACGTCATCATAGTCTACGGAGCTAAAAAAGAAAACGTGACATCTCATCCGAGAAGCTTCTTTAGTTCTAAGAGCAATTGGTGGAGAGTCCTAGATTTTTAAGCCCTATTGGGAATGTTAATAAGAGGATCGTGGACCCCCTATTGATCCCCTGCCTAATCACACGAGCCAAGGTGTGAAAATGGGAGTGGGTCACAATCAGACAAGTTTTATGTGTGAACCCATTGTGAGATCTAGCCCCACCCTATCATGTGATTT